AATATGCAAATTGTCCCCTTGACCTTGGCAGGCTGGCCAACCGCCCATGTCCCCTCCCCTTGGCCAGGCTGGCTGGACCCCACCCATGCATGAATTCATGCACCAGGCCTCTAATATACACACACACACACTGAGTGGCCAGATTATTATGCGTTCAGAATAATCGGGCCACTCAGTGTAGTGTACCTCTGTCTCATACACTTGAAAATGTGCAGCCAACAGTATGACAGGCGTGTCACCAAGACGGTGACATTTGGGAAGGTGCTGCTGCTCCTCAGAGGGGCAAAAATATGTATTTCTATTATCACAGTTTCAAAAAGAGTGTGAAACTGAAAAGGGAGTACCATGGTGGGTAGTCACAGGGCTGACACCAGGAGAAAACACTGACGCCCTGTGACTATGACACCACAGCCTTGTCTCCTCACTAAGCTGTCTCCAGACACAAACATGCAGACAAATGAGCCTTCTGACCACAGGATGGACTCCGCCTGCCAGGGAACAACCCGGAGCTAGTGAAGGAAAGCTGCTGCAGTCTTCACAAGAGCAAAAATGCTTGCCTTTTTCAAGTTTAATACACATAAAAACATTTCAATTTTTCAGCAATAAATATTTTCCGTTCAAAGAAACACTGAAATTCAAACTCTCAACCCCTGCAATCCCATGCATCATATGGTCTGTCACCTTGATGCAAGCTGGTACATGCCTAATTGCTGGTGTCTACTGTTCTTCTCAATGGCTTCATTCCCCAGAAATATTTTAACCTAAAGAGCATTCCACAAACAGATCTGAGAAATTCAAATTGTCCTTAAGCATAAAATTCTACATGGAAACTGACATCAAAAATATCCTTTTCTTAACTCTCCATGTTAGCAAACATTCTCTTGTGTTCTTACTCATGCCAGAACACTAACACTGACCTTAGTGGGGAAACATACACTACTGCAACTCCCCCCCACTACTCACTTCACCAGATGAGCTTTCTCACTATATTTTATTCGTCTTTATTCCCTAATATCTAGCACATAGTTGGCCCCAATAATTTAACACTAAACCATCATTAAACATGCATGTTGGAAATCAGGCTGATAGGTTTATTACATGGTTTTACAAATTTTCTAAAGGACTCCCCAAAAGGTTTGCAAATCGCTTTCTGTCTTCTCTGTATTCCTTGACCATGCTCCATGAAAGCCTGCCTTGTTTATTTCACTAATAGACAATCCCTCATGTAACATAACACACAGACTCTCCATTAGCCTACGAAATAGTTTCCCTGCCGAGTCTCCAGCCTCTCCTTTCACTGCTACCAGGTCAATCCTCCATTGCATCAACCAGCAAAACCCTGCAAGGCCCAGCATACCTAAAGCGGAGGTCCCCGAACATCAGCAGGCACACAAATCACCTGCAGGCTTGTTAAAACACCGCATACTACCCTCCCAGAGTTTCAGATTTGCCAAATCTGAGGTAGAGATAAGATTTTGCATTTTTAATAAGTTCCCAGGTAACACTGATCCTACTTGCTTAGGAAACATACTTTGAGAACCACTGACTCAAAACAATGGTTCCCAATTACAGGATCCCAAACAAATATAGGGTGTGTCCCCCAAAAGGTATACACACACTTTGAATATTTATAAAAGCAGTGTTTATTAAAATACAATTCATTTTCAAAATTGAGCTATCAGCTGTTAAAGTGTGTAAACATTTTTGGGGACAGCCTGCATGTTGCAATCACCTTAGGAGCTAAAAGAACAAGAAGAAGAAAATAACAGAATCCACTCTCTAGATAAATCTATACAGATCCAGCTTCAGAAATCATTAGTCTAAAGGTACTCAGAAACAAGGCTCTTTAGATGGCACTAGGCCTTCAGAACCTACCCCCAGATCTACCTATCCAAATGTATCTCCTAGTCCACACTATAAACTCTCAGTCACCGGTTAATCATTCTTCTTAATTACTCATGAATAGCCTTAACTATTCATTCCTTTGTGCCACTTAACAATGTCATCATATTAGTGATTCTACCTCTCTGGAGTGCCATCCTTTCTCCCTGTGTGATCCCTCCAAGGACCGGCTCATCATCTACCTTCAAAACCTTTCTTAGTCCATTCAACATGTCTCAGATATATTACACACTTTGCCAATACTCTTTTTTTCATTCAGCAACATTAGTTCACTTATGAGTCTGTGACATTGGATATGCAGTCTCTTGATGGGTGTATAGCCTAAAATTACTCAGTAATCCAAAACCTGAAAGAATGTGGGGGGAACTTGAAAATATAGAAACCTAAAAACAACTTAAATGTTGTAATATCATGTTTAGTGCATAATAAACTTAAAATATTTAGATGAATCTCTTTTCAAAAAGGCTTTATTCTTGAATCCATAGGCAGCAAAATCTCAAACAAATGCCAAAGCAATATTTTCACCGATACAGCTCCTAGGGCAATGGAAACTAAGGAAAAAATAAATGGGACTATATTAAAATAAAAAGCTTTGTCACAGCAAAAGAAACAATCAACAAAACAATAAGAAAGCCCACTGCATGGGAGAACATATTTTCCAATGTTATTACCCATAAGGGTAATCTCCAACATTTACAGAGAACTCATACAACTTAACAAAAGGAAGATAAATAATCCATCAAATAATGGACAATGGACCTACATAAATACATACTTTTCTAAGGATGACATAAGAAAGGTCAAGTGGCATATGAAAACATGCTCAAAGGCACTAATCATCCGAGAGATACAAATCAAAACGACAATGTGGTACCATCTCACAACTGTCAGAATGGCTAACAACGACAAATCAACAAATGACAAGTGCTGGTGAGGATGTAGAGAAAAAGGAACCCTAACTGCATCTTGACCAAGAGCACTACAGATATTTTTTGCAGCCTCACTTGCTTTTCTTCCTAATTGGAACTCGTAAAGCATGCAGTGCCGAATATGCTCTTCATCCGCCATCTTCTTAGCCCTAGTTTTGCAACAAAAACCAAACCAAACACAAACTTTTTCAAGCAAAACTTGTTAATTGCACTTCACACATTCTGTAGATACCACGTGTTTGAAGGTTATGTCAATACAAGTCAACGCCAAGCAAGATTTTAAACGAATGTTTAAAAACGACATTAATTATTACTAAACCCGATATATGTACATATACAAAACAATTGATAATGCAACAAAATGTTAACAATACTTTAATCAGAATAAAAAGGTATATGGATGCTTACTGAATTATTCTTATTGCTAAAACCTTTCTAAAAGTTTGAAATTATTTAAAAATTAAAAAGTAATAAAGTGACATATAATACACTTCATAAATATAATGGTTAAGTCTTATTTTTTGTTGTTATTGTTGTTCTTAGTTTTTAAACCACATGACAAACTCCATTTTTTAATTGAAGTGGTTAGTTCATTTAAATGTAACATAATTATTCATATGATTGGGATAAGTCTAACATCTTGCTATTTGTTTTCTATTCATCCTATCTTTGCTTTGTTCTTTGATTTTTTTTTTTTTATTCTCATCTAAGGATATTTTTCCAATGATTTTTAAAGAGAGTTGAAGAGAGAGGGAAAGACAGAGAAACATCAATGTGAGAGAAACACATCAATTGGTTGCCTCCTCTATTAGCCCCGACCAGGGCCCAGGCCAGAGAGGAGCCTGCAACTGAGGTACATGCCCTTGATTGGAATAGAGCCGGGGATCCTTCAGTCCACAGGCATCTGATGCTCTATCCACTGAGACAAACCAGCTAGGGCTATCCTTTATTTTTTATTCTTCCTCTCCTGCTTTCTTTTGGATTACTCAAGTATTTATTCAATATTTAATTTTTTCTCCTTTACTAACTTATTACCTATACATCTATTTTACAATTTTAGTTTTGCTCTTGGGCCTAACTTAACACAACTTACTTTAAGCATTATACCTCAGACAGGCAAACCGATTTATGAAATATTAAATAAGCAGCTTCTGAACAATACAGATATTTTATTCAATACACAAATATTCACCCAGTACTTACTATGGGCGTATGGTAATTGACAGAATGCAAAAGGAACTCAGGGAATATAGTTGCAATCCATATTCTTTCTACAACACCATCAATAAAGCACACAGACTTAAGCCAGAAAAATGTCTAATGAATGAATAACCAAGAATTAATCATTCAACCCACCAGGAACATATATATAGTGTCAAAAATAACTACAATTTCCCATCATGATTTATTTATTCCTGTAAGATTCCTATTTGCCATGCAAGTAATTTCATTCCTACACAGTTATATTTTTCAATTCCCTACATATTCTTAATTTTTTCCATATTAGTAGGTACTGTTCAACCAAGACATTTCTATTTAACGATGTCAAATTTGTTTCAGCTGATTCTTAATTGTATTTCAAATTTTCAGCTAGCCAAATCAAATATGTTTTCTTGAAGCATGGAGAGAAAATATAATAAAATTTCTAAATACCATCTCTGCAGCATCATACCAAACAGTAATATCATTTCTCTAATCCTAACCAAATCAATCAAAATGATACAATTCTACTTATAGATTCATTCTCATCTCAAAATAAGCTCTTGACCTCTCCTTTACCCCAATATATACAAGAGTTAACTGTAGGAAAATGATCATAAACTTAAGCTGCATATAAGTTTGTATTATAGTGTTTAAGAACATTTTTATACTGATTACTTTGACATATGACTAATTCCAGTGATGTAAAGTACCTTAAAACAAAAAGCCAAATACTGCACAAGCTTGTTGCTAGGTACTGGCATCTTCTCATGTTAAAGTCTGGTAAAAGAAGTTTGTTGAAAGATCTCTGAAGATGATAGCAGTTCATGAGATCAACAGCATCATCTTCAGACAGAAACATGCCTGTCTCACTGCCTATGACTAAGGAAATGTTTTAGCTGTTGATTTTTGTGGTGTTATCTTAACCTGTTACTCTGACGAGATGGCATCCTTTGTAAAAGGACTTACCTGGAGGACATCCTGGATCTTCACCCACACGTCTGCCATGTCGTACAGTTTGACATCTTCCTGCTGAGGCAGTGGGGCCACGACGGTGTCCTGCAGGTATCCCAAGACCACAGAGTGCGCAGTGGCTATAGCATTGAACTTGTCAAACAGCAACTCCAGCAGCTCCAAAAGTAACCTAGCCAGAAAAACAAACAAGTAAATACATTAAAACATATAACCAAAGATGGTTGCACTGGCCTGCAAGAAAACCAACAAACTAGTGACCATGTAAACAGCACATTTCAGCAGGTTTGATTTCAAACAGCTGTATGATCTAAGAAACTTAAAAACTTATCTAGCCAAAACCAGTTTGGCTCATCAATAGATAGAGCGTCGGCCTGCGGACTGAAGGGTCCCAGGTTCGATTCCAGTCAAGGGCATGTATTGGTTGCAGGCACATCCCCAGCAGGGGGTGTGCAAGAGGCAGCTGATTGATGATTCTCTCTCATTGATGTTTCTAACTCTCTATCCCTCTCTCTTCCTTTCTGTAAAAAATCAATAAAATATATATATATATTTTTAAAAACTTATCTAAGCCTGTTTTCTCTACTATAAAAAAAAGAAACAATATGAAAATTTAAAAACCGCCGAGACCGGTTTGGCTCAGTGGATAGAGCATCGGCCTGCGGGCTGAAAGGTCCCGGGTTTGATTCCGGTCAAGGGCATGTACCTCGGTTGTGGGCACATCCCCGGTGTGGGGTGTGCAAAAGGCAGCTGATCAATGTCTCTCTCTCATCTATGTTTCTAGCTCTCTATCCCTCTCTCTTCCTCTCTGTAAAAAAAATCAATAATATCATATATATATTTTTTTAATTTAAAAACCAATCGCCAAGTCCCTATACCAGCAGTAGCAGCTTCATAAACATTTGTTTCATTTTGAACATATTTTAGTGATTACAACAGTATTGCTCTGTATTGTTATAAGCAGTTTCTTCAAGGAATTCAGGCACTTTTTCAGCCAGTTCAGATGTCACACAGAATATGCTATTCCCTAGCAATAAATTGGGCACTTTGGTAAGGATACTAATCCTTTTAGACGTGAAAGCTGTGCTTACTACCATTCAAATGCATGGTGTAAGTGGCCTAAAAAAAAATACACACCTGCCAAGCAATCTGACTTTCACCACAGGGAGCAGCTTAGTCATCCACATTATCTCATTTTTCATGGTGAGAAATGCTGGACACATATTATTAAATCAATTTCATATACTCAAGGACACAAAATGGGGTTGCAAGGCAGCTGGGACTAGAACAAACATTGGTTTCCATGTCAGTGCATCTGCCACCTACCTTTCACTCTAGTTCTAGAATGCAGATGTCCATTCAGGGACAGGGCGGAGCTTTGTGGCATGTAAGCAAAGGGGATCCTCTACCACTAAGACACAGCTTCACTACCACATGGGCTGGGAATCTTCCCTCCTCTCAACTTATACAGCATTGCATCCCACTTCTAAAGAACTTAACCAAGTGTGGCTCCCACATGTGACTCAAACAATGCGAGTCCCATGTATTTATACACAGACACTCTACCTCCCTTCTCCACTGCTAGCCTTCCAGTGTGGGCCCTGCTTTACACATCACTGTATACTTAGCAGGGATCAGCAAATTATGCTGAATGAATTCACTGTGTATACCACGAACAGGCACAGAAAATTTGGAATGTGATTTTAATTGTATATTGTGTGGCTTTTCACTCACAGTTCCTAAATAGATTTATAAACCTACCTGGAAAGGAGGAAAGGAAAGCAAAAAAGCTTGTCAGCAGTGTCAATTAATAAGATCCCATTACCATAAATAAGAGGTTATGGCTACAATCTCATCAAAACATACAGCATCTTATCTCTTCCTCTGGCTTCTTTACTGCCCAATTATTATAATTAATGTGCCAAAGTGATGGCCAATAACAGTGTTATGATAAAACTCTAACATGCATTTGACATTTTAATTTAGATGAGACAGAATCAATAAAAATTTATGTACTACTCCCAATTTAGAATATACATAATACAGAATTTACACACTGTATTTGTAAATAAGAGCCACCCTATGTTTGAATGGTGATTTTTAAAATGTTTTAAAGATCAATTCACATTTACACACATATATATCTAAAACAATTATTCTTTCTCATCTGTGCTATCAGCAGAGAAAGGGATACAGTACAGAAGATGTGTCTAACATAGCCAAAATAGTTCATTAAGTGTAAGACATATCTGTATAAAACTGGTATCTGACATCACACAGAATAATTACTTGATTAAAGAATGGGTCCTCTTTTCAAAAAAGATTTATGCCAACGATGTGAGCCTGTGGTTCCCAAATATCAATCCACAGACCATAACGTATTTTTCAGTATGTGTAACAAAATAAGAAAAATAGGACCATATATTGACTTTTCACAAAGGTAAATATATTTAATTTGATATATTTTATACTCTCCTGACAGGAGAACCTGGTCCTTTCTCTCAAATGTCCCTACTTAACAAAATTAAAACTTAATAACCTTATGTTAATCTCCAACATTTTTTGAAATCATACTGATCCATGATATTCAGATGCTTGGGGCACAGCATCCACTTCCCAATGGCATGAAGGTCTATGAATAGGACACAGAGCAGCAATAAAGCAGAAAGCACTGAAGAGAAGGGCTTCTCTGAAAGGAAGGCGCTGCTGCCTGGCTCTGTCCAGGGCCACTAGCTCGTGGCTGCACACCAGAGCTACATCTCAAGGACAAGGACAACTCAGCCACCAGGGGCAGTGCTCTGTGTGGAAGAGACCTAGCAGGGAAGTGAGGTGAAAAGTGAGATCATAATGTCTATGAACATCACAGAAGCAGCAATCTCTTGATAGAACGCTGGCAAGTGCCAGCTCTGTCAGTCCTGAGGGATCAAGGCCAAGACAGACCATCACAGCACGGGAACACTGCATGAGGAAGAATAAGGGAGAAGAGACAGGTGAGAGGGGTGAGCTACCACCTGTACATCTGCCTCCTCTGAAACATAGCCACTTCAAAGAGAGGGAAACTCTCATCTGCCTTATTATCACACAATTATAGCAACAGTAATAAAACCTGTGGCTCCGACATCAAAATTAAAAACTGTGCTACAAATGATACCCTCAAAAAAGTAAAAGACAACCCACAGAATGGGAGAAATTATTTGCAAATCACATCCTAATATATAAAGAGCAGGGTCCGTAACATCCAAAACAACCTAACAGACAACTGAATGCCAGGCTGCACATGTAGCAGGCTTGGGTGCACAGGGACTGGCAAGTGGGCTGAAATGCTGACCTTGGGTCATGAGCACAATAGCAACCCAGCACTGACTGCTGCTGCTAAGGTGGGTGAAATGTGATTGCTTAAAGGGTCCCACCATCACCCCACAATTGTCCTGCAGAGGGAGGCCCAGGTGACCAGCCAGGGGGCTCTGCAATCACCCCAAAAAAGGAGGCCCAGGCTACCTGGGAGGCGGCGGTGGGCAGGGCCTCTCTCTGTGGGGCAATCAATCCTGGGGCTCCCAGACTGTGAGAGGTTGCAGGCTGGGCTGAAGGTCCCCATCCCCACCCCTGAGTGCAAGAATTTCATGCACTGGGCCTCTAATTTTCGATAAAGGATTTGTATTTAGAATATCTAAGGAATTCTTACAACTTGTAATAAAAAGACAAATAATTAAACTTAAAATAGGACAACGCATTTGTATCTACCTTCTCAAAAAATATATATGGTCAATGAGCAAACAAAAAGATGTTCAACATCATTAGCCATCCTATATAATAAAGAGCTAATATGCAAATTAGACCAAAAAGCAGAATGACCTTCTGGAACAACCTTCGGGAACAACTGGTGGGCAGGGCCACGGGGCTGCGAGGCAGCTGGGGCCACGAGGGTGGAGGAAACCGGAGCCAGGACTGTGAAGGCCTACTCTTGCACAGATTTGGTGCATTGGGCCTCTAGTTTGATGATCAAAGGAAATGAAGTATTGACACATGCTACAGCATGGATGAACCTTAAAATATGCTATGGAAAACCTCACAGAAAACTATATATTGTATAATTATATTTATGTAAAATATGCAGAATGGGCAAATTTATAGACAGAAAATATATGACTGGTTACTTGGGTGATGAGAATTGACTGCCAAACTATATGGAATTTGTTTTGGGTGGGGAGACAAAAATGTTCTAGACAAAAAACAATTCCTGGTTTTCAGGTTATTCACAGGATATAGTTGTGATAGTTGCACAATCAATGGTGATAGTTGCGCAATTTTGTGACTAACCTGAAAACCACTGAATTGCATACTTTCAGTGAATTGTAAAGCAGGTGAATTATATCTCAATATGCCTCTTTTTTTTTTTTTTAAACCATCAGTGAGGGCAGTGAGGACCCTACACTCTGCCACCCCCCACAGTGAAAGGAAAATACATGGAATGGTAGAAAATCTGATGTTTCAAAAAGTGAAGCACAGTGAAAGCTGACCCCTTCAGTTTCCCACTGCCTCGGGATACTGCGCAGTTCACTTGGTTTTTGTTTGTTTTTCCTTCTAATATAAGTCATCTGTAAGAAACAAAAGATTCACATTCTTTCCCAGCATTGATCATTCCTAGCCCTTTAATTATGAAACAAAACCTCTCAACTTCTCCAAGGGCTCCGTCTGTAAAACCAAAGTATTAATTAATACCTGTTCCAGGAGCCTCACCAAACTGCTGGAAGGATCAAAGCAGAAAATGAATAGAACTAGTCAAGGTGAGGACACAATGTTACAGAGAGGGAGTCAGCATCCCCTGCCTGGGTTTCCGGCTTAATCAACTTGGGAAGACATTGGGGGGGGGGGGGGGGGGAGTATATATAGGATAGAAATTTGAAAGGAGTTATGTTGGGCTTAAATCTGAATATGTTACATATAAGGTGTTATGTAGTTAGGTACTTGGATAGGCAAGTCCAGAGCTCAGGAGAGAGATATTGGAAATTTAAAAAGCAAGAAATATTTGAAAGAATGAGATCACACAGGGATAAGGTGCAGAGTAAGACAAAAGAAAAGTAAGGTTTAGCGCCAGCATTCCTGAAAGAGAGGCCCTGGAAAGGTGCTTATGAAGTAGTTGGGGAGGAGGAAGCCAGGAAAGAGAACTTGGAG